TTTGAGACAACTGGCAAGAAACTCTGCTTGCACTCGTTTTTTGTAAGGCATGATCATAGTCTTTTAGGGGATTAATGTTTCTTGTTGGATTCGAACGCGAGTCACCGTATTTATAAGATATATATATTTATTGTATACTGTGTGAGTCGTTATTATCTTTACAATTTATCCTTGCCTATGAGTGATTTTTAAAGGTTAGTTTCAAAAAAACGGGGTTATTTGTGTTAGGATATTCATCAAATATCCTGAGAGAATTATTTTCGTAAGTCTAATTCTACTGGTCAATATTATGGTCGTCCTAGCTATCAATGTCACGTACTCCAAATGTTGTTTCCCATTGGTCATCCTAACTATCACTGTCACAGACTTCAATGTTGTTTCCTATCCAGCCTAACTGTATAAATATGCATTATCTGTAACGTTTAAGGACCCGGATCCTCAGTCTGGTATCCTTGCCTTCTTTGGGACTTGGACCTTGTACTTACTGGATGCTTGTAGAATACACGTTCTACTTCTTTTACTTGATGAGAGTTGGGAAAATCGGATAAGAGTAGCCTGTCATGTTGTCGGATCATCGATCCTTGTTCGAGTTTTCCGACTCAGGTAAACTTGTAATAGTTCAAGCATATCAAAATTGACATGTTTACGTGCAGGCGTAACGATTTAGGATTTATTTAGTCATAAAGCTTTCATGGCATCATTAAACAACATCCTCAGCGCACACATCGTTTCGTTTTGTAATATTTTGCAGAAAGTCAAAGGATATTTCAAGATTATTAGTCTACTCATGTCTACAAGAACACAACGTACTTGAATTTATCAATGGTTAGTGCATTAAGGATTTCATAAAGAACCGACCACCTGGACAAAAGAACACAGCTCTACTACTACTACTGCTACTACTACTATTAAGAAGGAGCTACAATTCCTCGACAAATACAATACAGAAAAGTATGCTATTTACATTTTACATTTTTTTTCCACTTGGTTTTCAGTCAATACCGTAATTCTATGCTAAAGGGTACTGTTAACAAACTCTTCGATATTTCTAGAGGTGTGTATGTTGCGGTTTATTGGCACTTTCTAATTACCCCACCCAGTAATAGCGAATCAAAATACAAGTTACTTGTATGTCTACAACGGTTGGCGGCCCTTCTTGATTGTGCAGATTAATTATCTCTTCAATGAAAAACATGGCAGAAATCCATGAAGTCACTGACAAGTGGACTACTGAGTCATGTTGGTAGATGTAAGCTACTTGGTTGGGGTCTGCGAGACCAAAGTCACCGATGGTTAGAGACCTTGAACAACGTCATGGCTCAGAATCGTTTGCAATGGCGCAGGTGCATCCACTGTCTGTGTTCTCTCTAATTCTAATCTACGGAATTCCTCATAATCTCTACCTTTCTCCTTCTAAATTTATCTCACTGAATTATACTTTTTGAATCATATCTTCGCTCCTTAATCTTCTCCATTACTGCTAATACTTCTACTATCACTATCACTCTTGGATTTGAACTGACAGTTGCGTCTCTGTGCTTATGTGATGGTATGGCAACCTGAACTGATATACTTACGTACGAAGTTCTGCGTACTTCGTCTGTATTTTGTATTTTGAATATGCCGATCATCGTTCTCTCACCGGAGTTAGTCCCCAAAATACTTTGTCTTGGTCTAAAGTTAGAAGAGTCTACTGTCTCTCTCTCTCTCTCTCTCGCGCGCGAAATGTCTAAATCCGGTCACTTTTTTTGTCATAACTATCTTCAAGCGAGTAGTCCTATCTACTACTTTCTAATGGATGTGATCCTTTTACAAGAGTAAAGACGAAAGTCAATATTCTTCAACTTAATTGGCTTGGTCGATATAATACTATGTGTCCACTTAGGGGTATTTAGAAAACCTTTACATTAATTCGACGGTGTACATGACCACCAGGATCCCGAGGTGACTTATCATGAACAAATGTATTTTGATCACCGACTACAATTGGGTTGCATCTTTTTATTGCCTTGTGGACTACGCTTTATCGGCTGTAAGGTCATCTGACGAAACTACCTACTTCAGTTTGGGCATATTAATAGTATCTTATCTCAGCTCATGCACATACATCTATATGCTGATAGATATTGATGAGTGTGATTATTAATACTGTTTATGTACTTGACTTTTTTTGAGAAACTAAACGCTCTCCAATAAAAATGTCAAATAGAATACTGAGTATGTTAATAAAATATCGTTAAGTTTCATTGAAATCATGAATCGATCAATATTAGGCGACCGTCAAAAACCTAAGAACACTAGATGACTGTTTCATCCAATCAATCACAGTGTACATCCACCACACATCCCCACCAACGGTAATCAAACCCAGAACGGCCAGTTTCACTCACGAACGATTAAACCTTTTTTTATTCAATATCTAAGCTGTAAAAATCTAGAATCTTCTTTCTATCTCTTACTATGTGCTTGATACTTAGAAAATTTTTATTCAGTTCATAAACAGTTTGTTTGTTTTTAACGATATGGCGTAATTATATAATTCGGTACAATTTAATAATCGATCTACTCAAACCTTTTTCATCTTGAAACTAACAGCTGTTTATTTTTGAAAGAAAAATATATTAGTACAAGAAACGTACCAATAAAAAAATGAAATTGTAACGAGATAGAGAAAAAAAAATAGTGAGTACAATTGTAAAAAAAATGAATGTCAACTAGTTTATGAGAATGAAACAGTTCAGTTAGGCGAAAATACAATACAAATAAATCAGAAAGAATCTGTTTAGTTAAAGAAGTTACTTTTAAAGAAAATGAACTAAGGTACCGCTAGTGGCTTCTGTTTTGAACTGTCTGATAACGTGTCAAACCATTGAGTTAGTTGTGGAGAGAAGAGAGGTATGTGGGGGGGTGTGTAGGAAGGATTTGATTTTGACCAATTCGATCTGGTGTGTTACGGGTATGAGGGCGGTTGTCACTTCTCGGCTGCCCACACCGTGGAAGGTTGTTTCTTGAGCGACCTGAAAAGGAAGGTAGATTAGTGTTAGTCTCAGAGACCTGGGTGCTTGATCGCAGAGCCCAAGGGACAACTGTTTGAGGCCGGTCACGCAAAGCGTTTTTATGAAGGGTTATTTGAGTATTAGCTCCGCTCCTAAAAGCCCTTAGTTAGCACCCTTACCGCCGGAGACGGAAATCCGTAAGGTAGGGTGAGGTGTGACATTGTTAGGGTCGACCTTTTCTAACACCTTCCTTCCTTGTGAGAAGGCAGCATCGCTGCAGATGCTGGTTGTCCGAAGGAAACACCTTACTGCTGTCACACTCCTCCATCACAGTCAGCAGTACGACTTCGCCCTCGGACCTTGAGTAGCTGGTTTTAGTCTCATCGTTCTCAGATCGACCTGCATGGCATGGTAGAACCTTCAGAAACATATGTTCCAGCCAATATCGTTCGGTTGGATCAGGACGATAGGAAAACCCGACCACCACGTCAAGATAGCAGCTACGGTCGGGCAAACCATTGAGCTGCACCATCTGTATGTGCTTTCAACCAGGAAGTCGTGAAGGGTTAACAAATGCCAGTGATGTATGACATTATGTCATATACTGACCGCTTTTCCAGCATTGGCAACTAATCCACAATGTAGAAGTCGCTGGGATTGCAGTTGTAGTACATGTCCGGGTCACGAAAGTCGATGTTTCAAGATGATGGCATCAACTAAACACATGTTACCGAACCTTTTCCTTTATTAACATAGTTTTACTACTGAATGTGAGCAATCGTTCTGAGACCGCGATGATCCAGCACAGAGGATTGCCTAGCATTCTCAATTCGGAGATGCCATTTTTCACAAGTATAAAGCGAAACTACCCTCACCAACTCATTGTAGACTTGACCTTTTCCAACTAGACTAACGTCATAAAGTCGTAAAAGATGTCGTAGATTGGCTGGCATAGGCCACTGTAGCTTTCACTATACTTGAATTGATCCCATCATTGGCTCTTACGTATCCAATCAGCGCTAGCCGATGACTGAGGGAACATTCTAGAGTCTTCTCTTTTCCTTTGGAACTTCTGTCTTCCATTTAATCTCGTTATTGGCATATAATCTCTACTTCTGTTCAACCGTGTTCTGATTTGTGACAACGTCTCGAGTGAACTGTGATCCGAGAATACTAAGCATTAAGAATAACTGGGTTGTAATAAGAGAGAATTATAAGACTAGTATTTACACAGAGCTACCCAAGTATATGAACTTTTCAACTACCTCTCTACACATTACCAAGAGTAAGTACTGATTCAGAGTTCGGTTTGTCTAGTAAAAGTAGAAGAAGACAGCATTACTACCTGTCAGTCAGTCAGTCAGTAAGTTGCAACGTAGAACTTCGTATGTATGTACATAAGTTCATGTTGCCATACCACATTAGCACAGAGACACAAATATCAAATCAAATCCCATAGTGATAAAGATAGTAGAGGTATTAATGATAATGAAGAAGACTAGGGTTTTAAAATATTATTATTCAAGAAATATAATTCAGTGAGATAAGGTTAGAAAGACAAAGGTAGAGGTGCTGACGAATCCAGAAGATTAGGATTTGAGAGAGCACAACGAATGGATGCACTTGCGCCATTGCAAACGATTTTGAGCCATTTCGTTCAAGGTCTCTAAACATTGGTGATTATCGTCTCGCGAACCTCAACCAGATAGCCTACATCTACCAACATAACTCAGTCCACTTGTCAGTGATTTCATGGATTTGTGCCATGTTTTGGTTTGGCCGCCCCTAGCTGTCTTCCAACCTAGTTCTACGCCGCAAAACATAGCTCGCATTACTACCTTGTCAAATTTCATACTTTTTTCATGAAATGCAAAATTTAATCTGGGTCCTTCGTATATTCACCAATCCAATTTAAGCTCCTTTACCGTACAATTTCGTAAATAACAACCGATCTTTGAGAAAGCTGTTCATAGGACTTGCTACATAATATGTGGATATACACGCGTGGCCATTCCAAGAAGGAAAACGATCTCTTCCATTCATTCTCTCGGCTGTACCAGGGCATTTAAGCACTTCATCAACTATGTTTCTTATCTTCATAGAAATTTACTAACCAGAAACGTCTATATCATTAGTGGTAACTAATCACCATCGTTTCGTTCATAAAAAAATCAATATCAATCGTGGATGGCGCTTTTATGTTGTTTTTAAAAATGTTAGAACCTAGTTTTTTTTTCTTTTCCAGTTCTTTATCACATCACACACGGATCGATAATGTAATTAATTCCACGTGTAAAAATCCATTCGACGTCATTGGATTCCGGTGACACGTGTATTTATTTACATATGTACAAAATGATAACTTCGGTTTCGACTTTGTTTTTTTAACGCCTTATTATTCTTATGTTAGTGTGTAACAACCAATCGTTTTCTTCTTGACCTTAAGAATTATTGATTCGTATGTTAGGCTATCATCATCATCATCTGTAGGTGAATAATGTAACCATACTGATCTTATCCTATCCTATCCTATCCTATTGTCTAAGTTTAATAGTAGGGATAATTATTATTATGTATACGACACCCAAGGTCGTGGATTCGATTTTTTCCAAACTCAAAATCGTAGGTGTACAACACTAGGAAGAAACGACTGTCTAGTGCTTTTAGGTTGTCAGCAGCAATCTAGCTACTAAGAGTAATTCGTGGTTTCTCAGCTATGAAGCATCCTTGTGTTCCGCGATATTACAATCGTGTCAAGAGACTATACTACCACTAGACTGTGGATACTCAGTCATTTAGGCTATACACAAGCGGAGATCACACGATGCACGATTCATAATCAAAATAGAGTTATGAAGATTGTCGTTGTTGATTGAAATCTCTACCAGTGGAAACTTGGAAGTACTAGGCATTCTTTTCATCATAGTATGGGACTCTTCAGTACTGCGCGTCTACTACTTCATAGGTAAGAGTTGAGCCAAGAACCTTCAGTCTCATGCGTGGACGCTTATCCTCAAGATCACTGAGCTGGCATCCAACGGTGTTAATGTCTAAAAGTAATCAATCAATCAATCAGTCTGCGTGTGAGACCGAACGTCCTTGATTCGATTCCCGCGAGATAGGCTCGCGGATACGCAATGCTGAAGAGTCCCATAATAGGACGAAACCGTTGTTCGTTGCTTCCATATTTCTAATGGTGGTCTAACAATGATCGATATATATGATTTCAATCAGATAAAATATGATATTTACCTGATAAAAACACAACCAGTGCACACACATAAATAATTAGTACATAAGCTGCATGTCTGTCTGTCTGCTCACACTCAATGACCTATCAAATTTCATTTTCATTGGCCATAAATCAAGTGCTTTTCAAATTACTACTTGTTGGATTTCATTTGCGCACAGATTGATTTCTTAAATCATTCTCTATCTTGTGGCACACAGAGTTTTTAGCAGGCTTATATTCAAAACAGGTAATTCCATACGAAACCATAAAAATAGTACAACTAGTTACAACGTGAACAACAAACACTTATATACTGAATAGCGGCAGGAATATTCATCATTCCGAAGGTACACGTGTTCATTAACAGTTGTTTGCGCAAAATACTTCGGATTGGCAAAACAAGGTCAGCATTTCTACAATTGAAGAACATCTGGAACTCAAAACTCAACACCTAAATCAGAATTTTCAATATAAATATCAGAACAATTCTACTGTATGGAACAGAAACTTGAAAAACTACAAAAGCCATCACCCAAAAGATACAAGTATACATTAATAGTTTTCTATGCAAATACGTCGGATCCCTTGGCCAGATACTATCAGCAACAACCTACTGTGGGAGAGGACGAACCAGATTCCAGTGGAGGAAGAAATCAGCGAGAAGCACTGGAGTTGGTGGATAGAGCACACATTGAGGAAAGCAGCCAACTGCATCGTCACAAGGCAAGCCTTCCCCCTAAATCCTCAAGGCCAAAGGAAAAGAGGAACACCAAAGCACACATTACACCGAGAAATGGAGAAAGACATGAACAACAATTGGACAGAACTTGAAAGAAAGGTGTGGAACAGAGTAGGTTGGGGCAATGCTAGTCACAGGCCTATGCTCCATTAAGGATAACAGGCGTAAGTAAGCAGTTTGGAAAGAAATGAGTTTTGAGTGATGTACGTTTAACCCAAACATTATCATTGGTCGACTCATTCTTATCGATCGAGATTAACACTACAATTATTATTGAACTACTACTAGTATTCATGCTTATCAAGTTTAATTCTTTTGAATTTCATTGAAATCATGAACCAATCACTGTTTTGTTACTATTGAAAACCGAGAACTAGTAGACGGCTGTTTCGTCCTAGTATAAGACTCATCAGCATCCACCACCCTACACAAGCAAGAATCAAATTCAAGACCTTTAGTCTTTCACATGGTGTTAGTGGGACATAGATAGAATCAAAGCATGACTACGTTGCTGCGCGTTGAATGGCTAATTTCCTATCCAATCAACGCCTGATCGATTCTTAGAGAACAGGGTAGAAAGTTCTCGTGTTTTTTTAGCTGCACTCTGGTTGGCTAAATCTAATCCAGTTGATCACGTGAATTACTATCCAGAAACTTCTCATGTTTAATACTATAAAGAAACTAACGTTGTATCTATTCGGCTTCCTATTTGTATTTAACCTTGCTATTTGGATATATAATCTTTTTCCTGTTCCACTGTGTTCTTAATTCTTTGGAACTTGTCCAGTGTATTGTGTGATCAGAGAATACTAAGCAATAGGAATTAGCTGGGAATTACATTTAAGCAAAGCGTGTTATAACACATGGACATTTCATCTTTTGAGAGCGTTGAAATATAGTAATATCATGTACAAATTAATCGCTCCAAATTTTTATCACACCCCGTAATTTGAACATATTTTTTAAACATGTTCACCTAAAATTGTTCAGATATAGATTTTATTCTTGGAGCGAATAATAAATTTTAATTTTCACCTTTCTATTTTCCCACCGCTAGAAATAATGTATCGATAGTTTATACCGTTTTTCTATCCAACCTATATACATCTACATATCATTTTTTCTAATTATGGGCGTTCTAACTAGACCGATTCTATTTCGTACTATCAAATCTCACCACCAGTCGGTTTACTTGTTATCAACTTTTAATCAATTTAATACATCAAGTCAAATATTCCTATTGAATTCAAATGATATTTATCGAAATTTAACATTTGAAGAATGTTTATATCGTGAAGGTGAAAAGTATTTACAGTGTGTGAAAGATAAACCACCGTGGTTTAGTAAAATTTTATTATGGCGTAGTAATCCACCATGTATTGTGATTGGTCGATTTCAAAATGTTTGGAATGAAGTGAATTGTCCGTTGGTACATTCAAAAGGTTGGAAGTTAGCTAGACGTCATTCAGGTGGTGGTACTGTTTATCATGATCTTGGTAATTTGAATATCACATTTATGCAACCTAGATGTTATATGAATAGACAAGAATGTATGGCATTGTTACAGTCAATTTTACAACCTTTATTGATGCCTTTAAGATATACGATACATATTGGTAGTAGATATGATTTGTGGATTACGGAAAATCAAACTAGTACAAATTTATTGGAAGTAAGTGAGTAAGTGAGTGAATGAGTGAGTATGTTAATTTTAATTTTTATTTCAAAATAACAGTAAGAATTTTTGTGTCGATGAGATATTGGTTTGTTGACCAAAGGATGATTTTACTGCGCAGCAGTTCACTGTGTCCTAATCTATGGCTGGTGAGAGTAGAGGAAATTCTTAGGTTACTGGTATTCGATCATAGTTGTCTCCGAAGCATTGCTCATGTATCCTGGGACCATCGAGTAAGCAATGCTGTTGTTAGGAAACAAGAACTAGTATCAGCACCTGGACTAGTGATAGGGAATGAAGTAATTGAACGTGTAGACCGCTTCATTTATCTGGGGAGTCTCATCAGTGCCGATTGCCTGGTGACTGACGAAATCTCAACTCGGATACAGAAGGCTCGATTGGCTTTCGCCAACCTGCGTCACTTATGGCGTAGGCGAGATATCCGTTTTGCTGACTAAAGGACGAGTTTACTGTGCAGTAGTACGCTCTGTCCTACTTTATGACTGTGAAACATGGCCAGTCAGAGTAGAAGATATTCGTAGGTTACTGGTTTTCGGTCATACGTGTCTCCGAAGCATTGCTCGAGTATCGTGGGACACCCGAGTGAGCAACGCTGTTATTAGGAATCGGGTGCTGGATAAGGATGGCAGATCAATAGATGAAGTAATGAAACTTCATCAGCTGAGGTGGTTGGGACATGTGTCGCGTATGCCTAACCACCGACTGCCTCGTCGAGCTATGTTTAGTGGTGTAGGAGTAGATTGGAAGAAAGTTAGGGGCGGTCAAACCAAAATATGATACAAATCCATGGAGTCACTGACAAGTGGACTGAGTCATGTTGGTAGATGTAGGCTACCTGGTTGCGGTCCGTGAGAAGAGAGTCACCAATGTTTAGAGACGTTGAACGACATGGCTCAAAATCGTTTGCAATGGCGCAGATGCATCCACTCTTTGTGTTCTCTCTAATTCTAATCTTCTGAATTCCTCATCATCTCTATTTTTCTCTTTACAAATATATCTAGCTGAATTATCTTCGCTCCTTATACTTCTACATTGCTGTTAATACTTCTACTATCACTATCACTGACAGTTACGTCTCTGTGCTGATGTGATATTGCAACCTGAACTGATGTACTTACGTACGAAGTTCTACGTTGTAAGTGACTGACTGACTGACTCATTGACACGTGCACGTTCAGGTTTTAAACAGCCAAAGTTATCAGTGAGTGAATAATTCACAAAATCAAAAGACATATGAATAAGAACTTGAGAAGAATAAATAGGTGAATCTTTTTTTTTTCAAAGACAAGGACAAATCATGTCGGCTTGACATACACACATATAGAGTACTTCATTGAAATCATGAATCGATCATTGTTAGACTGCCAGCATTAGAATCCTGAAAAGTACTAAAAGACGTCCATTTCGTCCCTGGTATGGGACTCATCAGTAGTGCGTGCCCACGACTCCCGTTTACTACCTTCAGTTCCACCCACGAACGCTTAACCTCTAGACCAATGAACACGACGACATCCAACAGTGTTCATGTCTAACAGTTTCCATATACATGTCACACTGACATTTCATATGTATATATTGATTATTTAAACATCTTAATTATGATTGCTTTCCTCTTTGAAATAATTATTATAATGTAGAATCAATTTAAAATATCTGGTTCTTCATCAAAATTCGGTGCTAATATGGCATATCATCATTGTACATTATTATTTGATGCAAACTTAAATAATTTGTCAGAAGTATTAAAACCAACTTTTGTAAGTTTTTCTCTGTTTTACTTCAGTACGTGTTTACATATACAATGTAGCTCAAGTTATAATGTTCACATGTCAACTAATTCATGCTCTATTCTTGTGGACAAACAAAAGAGTTTGAGCTGTAAGTGTACTGCGCAGATTTTAGCGTGTTCTTAAGCTCGGGGTAATTAGCTCGTTTAGACAATCGTTGCAAAGTAGCATCTGACGGTTATAAATCAGAAGGTGAATTCGTAGTGATGAATACATTTATTTTTGGGATACACCACAAAGCGAAGCGAAGAAGCAGTGAATATAAAAGGGATGAAGCGATGTGAATTGGAGTTGGCTCATTAGGCTTCTCCAACACGCTTCGCCTGTTCATTCGCTTCCTTCGCCCATTCGTTCGTATTGTAATCCTAGGAGTTGGCTCAACAGCCTTCTCCAAAGTGTTAGCTCCGCCCTTCAAATAGCCTTACCGCCAGAGACGAAAATCGATGGGGTAAGGTGAGGTCTGACAGTTCTATGTTGTAGCCGACTAAAGAATTATAGCTGTGTACTGGTTGTATTCTGAACTTTTGATTAACTCATTAACTGCTCTTTATTCGTTACTAGATTATTATTCACAGCCACCTTTCATTTTGTTCATGTATAAATATGATTTTCTATTAATTGGGTTGAGATGGTTCGATGTCTCTGTATACACATATAAACCGCTCCATGTTTTCCTAAACGATTTGTTTCTATTAGTGAAATCTGTTTCAGGACTTCTAGACTTAGCAGGCTAAGCAAAGAGACAATTTCTAACCAATGAGGAACTTAACTGTTAACATGAGGTTATCAATCTGTAATTATATTTTGATTAGTGCTTGCACTTGGTTGAGTCCATGACATATTCGCCATGGGAGTGTCTACATTCCGGCTAACCTTGTGGGACAAATTCGATCTTTAGCTTCATGTGGGATCTGAGGGCTCCGGTCGATTGTATCAGCGCAAGGCAGTTGGAGGCCAGACGGTTGGAACGGCTGCTGGGTGGCTCGGTAATCCGTTCAGGGTGCCAGGTCCAACTGGGTAAACCCGCCTTGCAGCTCATGCCAATTGGGGATTTCGGGTAGTGAATTGGTTGGAGGCATCTTTTTGATTCATAAGTGCCCGAACGGGGGCCACTGTTCGTGTGCGTGCTTTTTGGACGTCCGACCTGCTTGCGGGCCAAACTGGACAATATGTATGTTCCCGATTGTGAGGCAGAGGTGATCACTAAACAGCTACAGTGAAAATCCTTGTGTTGCCTAAAAAAGCAGCGATGTGCATGTGCAGCAGGCTTGTCGGTTAACCAAGATTTAGACAACAGTAACAGCTGAAACATAAATATTAAGAATTATGAGTTGTCGAAAACAAAATAGATGAAGTACAGTTCAGATCTATCCTATGCCATACTATGTGTATACCATATGCTATACTGCTGCTCTATATAGCTAAAGGTTTCGTATGGGAAGAAACCAGAGGTTCGTTGCTATGAACATTGTGGATGGCTTGGCATTGCTTTGGCAAGTATTGCTAACAGTCTATATACAAAATTGTTTAGCAGGGCAACCGACTTGATTGATACTACTGGTGATTGTTTTGCAACATTCCCGACGACTATTGTCATTGGGGTGCTGCTGCATCGCTGCATATCACCATTGCTAATAATAATGAGTGTGAAAGGTATGTGTAATCGTGATGGGTGAAATTAGTCTGTTTATACGGTGCATATTGATTGACGACGCGATTATGGATCGGAAATAATCAGTATATAGTTGTTGATGTATATCAATGGTGTGAATGGTCAACCAGGGTGTGAGGTACCTGTTTGATGGTTGCACCACAGGATCAGGCCGAACTGTTCACGTTGAAATGTTAATACGTGAGCAGTCGTCGCCTTGGTCCTCCTAAAAACCAATTTAAAATTAACCTTGCCAATTGAGGGCTAATTTGTATAAATAATAAAAAATGCGTGTTACCCCTAATGTCTGGGACATAGGCCATTGTCCAGCATTCTCCAACCTTCTCTGCTATGGGCCTTCCATTCCAATTCTAACCAATTTGTTCTTTTGATGTCCGCTTTTGAATTCTCGGCGTAATGCGTGTTTGTTTTTGGTATACCTCTTTTCCTTTGGTTGTGAGGATTCCAAGTGAGGACTAGTCTTATGACACAGTTGGGTGCTTTCCACAATGAAACTGAACATCTTCTGAATTTTGAAATTTCATTTATACTTTTTAATTGTTACGCCTGCACGTAAACATGTCAACTTGATATACGTGAACTATTACGAGTTTACCTAGTCGGAAAACGAGAGCGAGAATCCGGTGACACGACATGTTACTCAAATCCGTTGATCCCAACCCCCTTATTGAGTAAAAAATAAGAAGACTTGAATGTAGAGTAGAACCTATATTCTACAAGCATCCAGAAAGTACGAGATCCGAATCCAGAAGAGAATCAGGATCCTGGACTAGGGATCCGTGACCGAGCCCTGGTCGTGGTCATAATATGTTACAGATAATGCGTATTTATACATTTTGGTCGAATAGGCAACATCATCGAATTCTGTGACATTGACAGTTAAGACGACCAATAGGAAGTAGCCATTTGAAATGGCATTGACAGTCCGGATGACCAATAGGAGACAACATTGAAGTATTTTAGACTTTGACAGTTAAAACGACCATTTATTTTGACCAACAGAAATCGACCAATAGGATTTGAGCAATAATTCTCTTAGGATATTGGATGAATATCCTAACAATTTGTTTAACCGGCATGGAGACATCATCTTCTGAATGTTGAAATTTCATTTATACTGTTTATTGTAATTCAATAATTTTGCGAAATAATCCCAAAAATCTAATCAAATTTGTTTATAATTATTTATGCATGTAATCATGTTGCTGTTATCTTTCAGATAAATTTACAAACTAAAGCCACGGACAGTGTTCGAAGTCCAGTGAAAAATATAAATTTGAACATTGATCTACTTCTAAATGCAATCATTGAACAGAGTTTAAAATGGATCGCTAAAGTAATAATCATAATAATTTTCTTTCTAAGATTATTCAATTAACTACTTACTATATTCAATAAGGCTTATATATGTATGCTCTGTTGATTAGTAGATCTGAGTTTAACTGTGTGAATTTTGTGACAATCATTTATGCCGCTACTACTGTAGTGAAGGAGAACACAGGTGAGGGCAACCGAATTGTATTTAACGAAAATTACAGAGTTACTCAGTAAAATAGGAAAACCATATCGTAAACCGTTGTTAATTTGCAAAATAACAGTTCATCATATCGAACTGGACTGTTCCTGTTGCAAAACATCAATCCATTGTCACTATTCATGCGTTTCATACAAATTCCATTGTGTTCCCCCCACTCTTCCTTTCTTGATCTTCCCCCATCCTCTTCTGCTGCCAGACATTAGGTTTTCACTCGCGTCATATACTACTTATAAGTAGCGCGCACCGCACTACTACTACTAATCTGGCAGATTTTTCCGTGCTTTTGATTGATTGGTTGACTGGTTAAACAGAAAAATTGAATAACATTCATCCCTAACTGTTAAACAATATCACGTGACAAAGACAAACTACCAATCAGAGTTGCGGTTTTAGGCACCGGTAGTAACCTTGAGTCAGTTTTCTAATCCTTATTGGTCCACAACCGTGATAGGCTGTTTTCTTTCTATTTTTGCCTTTCTTGTCCAGAAGTCCAGTTGACCAGCTTCCATAAAATTTGTCATATTTCAACCAGGCATAGTTTATGTACAAAAAATATAGAGTAGACCACATCACATCATTGGATGAATGAGAATGCATAAACAAGTCAAAATTGGTTGTGACTAGAAGTCAGTCTGTGAATGACAAACTGGCAAAAGATTGGTAATAGGAAGGTTATCCAAGCAGTAGTACGGATAGCAGATCAATAGATGAAATATTAGAAATCCATCGGTTGAGGTGTTTAGAACATGTATTATGAATGCTCAACCACAACTGCCTATGGGTTTGTGGTGCAGGAGTAGGTTGGACGAAAGCTAGGAGCGGCCAGACCAAAACATGGAACAAATCCCGGAAATCACTAACAAATGGACTGAGTCAAGTTGGTAGATGCAGACTAACTAACTGGTTTGGGTGCGTGAGACGGAAGCCACCAATGGGTAGTGACCTTTAGAACGACAGGACTCGGAATCTTTTGCAATGTCACCAGTGCATTTATACTTTGTATTCTTTGAAATCCTAATATTCTGAATTCCTGATCACCTTTATCTTTTTCTTTTTTAAGTTTATTTCACTCGATTCTACTTCTTGAATAATATCGTCGAAACCTAATCTCTCCGTTTACTGCTAATACGTTCACTACCTATGGGATTTGAAGTGACAATTGCATCTCTGTGTGCTAATGTGGTATGGCAACCTGAACTGATGTACGTACGTACGTACAAAGTTGTACGTTGCTGTTGATTGATTGGTTAAACTCCAATGGTCACGTCTTCTCATTAGAACCTGGAGAAATTTCTTCATAAATCTAGTCGCTAGTGAGCACATTTTCTAATTTTTAATTGTAGAGTTATAGAGATTGTTGTTTTACATTTTAATCGTGAATCACTACCATTAGGAACCTGGAAACTTCATTGAATTCTAACTAGTGTGATATTATAATCTGAAGCAAATAGAGTAATCAAAAAGTCATTTTAATCTAATCTTTCATGTCTAATTGATAAAAAATTTTTAACAAACAAGATATAATGACCTTGGATTTGTCATTCAACGATATACATTAGACAATAAGGTGTAGTAGTACACAAACCAACAGAATTCACTTCAATCAATCCTATGCAGATCAATTGTGGTGCGCGCTACTTATAAGTAGTATATGACGCGAGTGTAAACGTAATGTCTGGCAGCAGAAGAGGATGGGGGAAGATCAAGAAAGGAAGAGTGGGGGGAACACAATGGAATTTGTATGAAACGCATGAATAAGTGAAATGTCAGACAATGGATTGATGATGGATTGAAGATTTGCAAATTAACGGTTTACGATATGGTTTTCCTATTTTACTGAGTAACTCTGTAATTTGAGATAAATACAATTCGGTTGCCCTCACCTGTGTTCTCCTTCACTACACAATGAACAAAATGACAAAGGAAGAAAAACCAAGCATCATTTACAAAATAAATTGCTGAGATTGTAAAAAACACTACATGGGACAAAGTGGATGCCCTCTTCAGCTTTATTCACGTGAACAACAATTAACAGTCAAACGCCACGACAATTCTTTGCTTGTATCAATCCATATACGGACAATTATGGACATGTGTTCTTTGGGATCAATGTGGAAATACTGGATAGACAGAGGACAAAGAACGCTAGAGAATTTTTAGAAGCTTGGCACACTCGGGTAAATCAGTTATCAACAAATACATCGTACATTGACCCAATTTATCAACCAGTCAAAAAATCATAGGGAAACATAGGATTAAAAAACAGATCAAAAAGGGGATACAATCAAAACAAATGTGCAAACAACGACAACTTTAAGGTCAAAAACAACCAATCAAGATCGAGGTTAGCAGAACAAGCTACAGGTCAAACGTGGAGAAATCCACAACTACCTCACTTCTTCTATCTGAAGTTTGTGCTGATGATAATGTTGTTGAGAAGAAGAACAATGAAAGCTCCACACAACCAAAATATCCAAAATTCTATCACAATCATTCACCTAAGCTACAAAATTTCTCCACCGTTTCAACATGAGACAATGAATTTAGGATGATGCTACGTTGGTATCATCCAGCGACATAATGTTGTCATCTATTTTCTTGGGAGTTTTTAGTTACTAATTGTAGGAGTTGACAGCTTGGAACTCTACAGACCAATACGCATGGGTTCGATTCCAGGCTACAGGATCCGTAGGTACGGACTGTAGAGGAGTAATAATAGTAGTCTCATACTAATGTATTGGATACTACTCCCAACATAGTTGATAAGTAGTATGCAGTTGAATGTCGCTCAAAAGTTACTCTTGGAAAGAACAGTGTATGATGTAAATATATATTCTGCGTTCACAGTGTTTTGAAGACCAGAAGAAATCTACAGAAGACCACCAATAATAATATCTGTTTGTTTCGTAAATAGAAGTTTAAAGATACAGGTGTACATATTTTGTTAATTAAACTGTATCTTCTCCAAACACACTATTATCCCATTCTGTTCTTGACGTCTTTCAGTCAGTTTACTAGAACGAATAATGATTGTCTACCTAATATGGGATTTGAACTGATAGTTGCGCCTCTGTGCTGATGCGGTTTGGCAACATGTGCGAAGTTCTACGTTGTAACTGACTGACTGTCTATCTAAAATTAAGATTCGTTCATGATCTCATTAATAAATTTTTGATAACTCGGTTGATAGATGATGATGTTAACCAATCAAATTATTGAATATCATTTCTAATCAATGTAAAATCATCTCACTGATATGATGATCATGGCAGGAAACTTGTATTAACCCACAATACAAACAAATATGGAGGTCAAGCACGCTCACACACACACATACACACGAAGTATAGGGACATCTGATTACATCATCTTTTTATTACGCTGTATTTTCCGCAACAGTTCTCTCTCTTTGATTGATCGATTTTTCTTGTTGTGTCAAAAAATTCTGTGTCTCTCTCTCTATTGATGATAATAACCAATTGGATTGTTTCTAGTTCTGTATGTATGTATGTTTAGATCAACCAACACATTATGGTTACTAAGTAACCGCACATTGTCATCAATTTAAACAACAAGACATCAAATTGTTTAATTGAAATTGAAATCGAAAAAAAGAAATTTCATGATCATTATGAGATTATCACAGAAAACTGGTTGAAGAGATAACTCTTTTCTCTTGATTTTATTCTCCTTTAGTGTGATAAATCTCATGTAGCCGGACTGTCATCTGAATTCTCTACATCAAGTGGTGTCGGTCAGGGCTGTCCACTCTCTCCATTCTTGTTTAACTTTGTTGTAGACATCCTTTTAGAGTTAACATTAAGCTCATCAGATTTTTTAGGGGTTGGACCTTCTACCAGGAAAATCGCTTACTGATCTAGAATATGCCGATGATATAGTTCTATTTGGTGAAGACGCTGACAAAGTGCAGAGTCTTCTGACTACCATAAGCAACAATGCAAGCATGTTCGGGATACGGTTCTCACCCTCGAAATACAAAATGTTGCTACAAGACTGGGTTTCATCGGCATCTGAACTAGTGATAGGGAGTGAAGTAGTCGAGCGTGTTGATCGTTTCACTTATCTGGGGAGTCTCATCAGTGCTGATGGCCTGGTGACTGACGAAATCTCAGCTCGGATACAGAAGGCTCGATTGGCTTTTGAAAATTTACGTCATTTATGGCGTAGGCGAGATATCCGTTTGCTGACCAAAGGACGAGTGTGCTGCGCAGTAGTTCAGTCCGTTCTCCTATATGGATGCGAAGCATGGCCGTTAAGAGTAGATGTTCGTAGGTTACCGGTATTCGATCATAGATGTTTACGAAGCATCGCTCGTATATCGTGGGACAACTGAGTAAGCAATGCTGTTATTAGGAAACGAGTACTGGGTAACGATGGCAGATCAATAGACGCAGTAGTGAAACTTCATCATTTGAGGTGGTTGGGACATGTGTTACGAATGCCTAACCGGCGACTGCTTCGACGAGCTATGTTTAGTGGTGTAGGAGTAGGTTGGAAGAAAGTTAGGGTAGGTCAAACCAAAACATGACAGCGATCCATGAAATCACTGAGAAGTGGATTGAATTAAATTTCATATCTGTTACCCAAACTAGTGGTCATCTGGACTCAGAGTACCTAAGTGAATAATAATGCAATGGACTTTGAGGTGAACGGTACTGACATCGAGTCTCGGAATGAACAACAAATCTGAAATGTGGTAGGTATAAGGTGAAACGCTCATCTTCTGTATTCCACTGTTGGCTACTTTCTTTCTGTTTGGTGTAAACTATTTTGAATCAATCAATGTTTGTCCACCATTACAAACATGGAAGCACTGGACGGCCATTTCCTCCTAGTATTGGACTTATCAGCGGTGAGCATACACGACTCCTGCTTGCGGGAACCGAACCCAGGATCCTCGGTCTCACGCGCGTACGCTTTACATCTAGACCACTAGCCGACATCCAGTGATGTTAATGTCTAACTTTAATCAATCCGAGTTTTTTTTGCTCAAACTTACTCATTGTTTTCAGTGGGCAACTGCCTATATCTGACAGTGTTGAACTTCACTAGTTACGATTCCTCACTGGAACTTGCAGAAATTTCCTGACGAAGCTTAGTCATAAGTGAGCACATTGCTGATGAGTCCCATACTCAGTCAGTCAATCAGTCAGCTGCAACGTAGAATTTTGTACGTACGTACATCAGTTCAGTTCAAGTTGCCATACTACATTTGCACAGAGACGCGATTGTCAATTCAAATCCCATAGTGGTATATATGTAGTAGAAGTATTAGCAGTAATGGAGAAAATTAGGGTTCGAAGATATGATTCGAGAATTATTATTCAGTAAGATAACTTTAGAAAGAGAAAGATGGAGACGATGAGGAATTTAGATGGTTAGAATTTGGAAGAACACACAATGAATGGATGCACTTGGGCCATCGCAAACAATTTCGAGTCATGTCATTCAAGGTCTCTAACCTTCGCTTACTATCATCCCGCGGGCCGCAACCAGGTAGTCTAAGTTTACCAACATGACTCTCAATCCATTTGTCAGTGACTTCATGGATTTGTGCCATGTTTTGGTTTGTCCGTCTCTAGCCTTCTTCTACACCGCAAAATACAGCTCGTCGGGGCAGTCAGTGGTTGGGCATTTGTAACGCACGAAATGCACGGGTGTCCCGTACTAGAACAAAACGGTCACTCAATACTTCTCATAACTCTATCATGAAAAATCTTTTTTTTAGTTCAGTATTAATGTAATGTCATCTTAATTTTCTTGGTTTTCTTTTCTCCTTACAAATAAATACATAGTATGATTTAATCACATCTCATCCTAAAGTTACTCACGTAATTGAAAATCAAGAACAACAATTTATTACCGACCAAAAACAATTCCACCAGTTATTCACTACATTACAAACATGGTCATGGATTTATGGCAGTTCACCAAGTTTTTCGATACCTATAGAAAATTATAATATAAATCTATACAATATCATACATCCATTAGATGGTTCAATTTTATTGAATTTTGATCGTGGTGCATTGTTTAAATCAATTGAATTTCATCATCGTGATGGCACCACTGTTCAAAATCATCATCATCATCAATTTCTCGATACGTTGAATGAATTTTTAACAGAAATTACAATATGCCTGCGACATGTTGAATGTCGAACAAATTCATGGGATTTTATATTAGATCAATGGATTGCAAAGAAGTCATTTCAGCTGAATGGTGAAAATTTGCCTGAAGAACAATTGTTAATTATTAAAGTGTTGACATTGATTTCTAGTCTATTTTGATAGGAATATTATTTATTGATTTCTGAAAAAAAGTAAATTTTTTTTGAGTATAATATATGTGTGTGTTATGATATGTCGATGTTTGAGATCTGGTTGTCAGTATGTGCTAACTCCTGACTACTATGGTGAGGAGATACGGAGTTATTCAACTAGTCAGCAACTAGCTTCGAACATGGTACATACGTACTTGAGTTTAAGTTGACCTACCATATTAGCGCACAGAGATGGAATTGTCAGGACCCATCGCACAGCAGTACAGGTTGTTACTGCACAGTCGTTCGCCCTGTCCTATTTTATGGCTGTGAAATATGGCCAATGAGAGTAGAAGATATTCGTAGGTTGCTGGTTTTCGATCATCGTTGTCTTCGAAGCATTGCTCGTGTACCATGGGACAACCGAGTAAGCAATGCTGTCGTTAGGAAACGAGTATTCGGTAGGGACGGCAGATCAATAGATGAAGTAATGAAACTTCATCAGTTGAGTTGGTTGTTGGGACATATGCTGCGTATGTCTAACCACCGACTGCCTCGACGAGCTTTGTTTTGTACTGCAGGAGTAGGTTGGAAGAAATTTAGGGACAGCCAGACCAAAACATGGCAGCAATAAATGAAATCGCTAACAAGTAGACTGAGTCATGTTGGTAGGTGTCGACTACCTGGTTGGGGTCCGCGAGAAGATAATAATCGATGGTTAGAAACCCTTACCGACATGGCTCAAAACCGTTTGCATTTATTCTTTGTGTTCTCTCAAATCCTAATCTTCTGGATTCTTCAACCCCTCTAGTTTTGACTTTCTAAACTTTTCTCACTGAATCATACTTCTTGAATAACATCTTCGAACCGTAATCTCTCTGATTACTGCTAATACCTTTACTACCTCTTCTACTATTAGATTTGAATTGACAATTATATCTCTGTGCTGATGTGGTATGGCGACATGAACTGATGTACTTACGTACGAAGTTCTACGTTGCTACTGATTGATTACAGTAAAGGTTGTAGCGGTATGGGCGGTAATCGGAAAGATTGAGGATCGAAGATATAATTCCAGAAGTAGCCTAAATCTACTAACATTGCTCAATCCAATTATCGATAGCTTCATGGACTAGTGGTGCCATGTTTTGGTTTGGCCGGCCCTAACTTTCTTCCAGCCTACCTCTACATTAGACAACATCGCTATTCGAGACAGTCGGTTGTTGGGCATTCGTAACACATGTCCCAACCACCTCAAACGATGAAGTTTCAACACTTCATCTATTGTTTTGCCATCCTTACCTAGCACTATTTTCTCAACACTAGCATTGCCTACTTGGTTGTTCCAGGATGATATCCGAGCAATCTTTTGAAGATACCACGTAAAATCAAAGCTAGATCGTTCGTTGGTTTACATTCACATTAGTCATTAAAGTGATTAGTTTTTCTTTTAGTTCATAATTTGATTTGACAAATACTTTAGTAATCTGAAAAACCTGATAATGATTTGGACTAACGAACGAATCAATACGTCGTCATGAACATAAAAATCTTCCGCTTAACTATGTATATTTCACCCAAGGCTAATCCTGTTCGAGTAACTAACGACAGTGATAAGAAGATCAAGTAGGATAAATTTATTCTATGCACTCGTTTATACAGACAGATATTCGGATGATGGAGGAAGATCAAGGTGTGACAGCTCAATTCGATAAGGTGTAGCTAATTATTTATTTATGGTCAGATAAAAACTAAGCTAAAGATAGCAGTAAGTCAGTCAGTCAGTCAGTCAGTTGCAACGTAGAACTTCGTACGTAAGTACATCAGTTCATGTCGCCATACCACATCAGCACAGAGATATAATTGTCAATTCAAATCTAATAGTAGAAGAGGTAGTAAAGGTACTAGAAGTAATCGGAGAGGTTAGAATTAGAAGATATTATTCACGAAGTATGATTCAATGAGATAAGTTTAGAAAGTAAAAACTAGAGATGTTGAAGAATCCAGAAGATTAGGATTTGAGAGAACACAAAGAATAAATGCACTGGCGCCATTGCGAACGATTTTGAGCCACGTCATTCAAGGTCTCTAACCATCGATTATTATCATCTCGCGGACCCCAACCAGGTAGTCGACAATTACCGACATGGCTAAGTCCACTCGTCAATGACTTCATGGATTTCTGCCATGTTATGGTCTGGCCGCGCCTAGCTTTCTTCCAACCTATTCCTACACTACAAAACAAAGCTCGACGAGGCAGTCGGTGGTTAGACATACGCAACACGTGTCCCAACCACCTCAACTGATGAAGTTTCATTACTTCATCTATTGACCTGCCATACTTGCCTAACACCCGTTTCCTAATAACAGCGTTGCTCACTCGGTTGTCCCACGATATACGAGAAATGCTTCTAAGACACCTATGATCGAAAACCAATAACCGACGAGTATCTTCTACTCTCACTGGCCATGTTTCACAGCCATAAATTAAGACGGAGCGAACCACTGCACAGTACACTCGTCCTTTAGTCAGCAAACGGATATCTCGCCAACGCCATAAGTGACGCAGGTTGGCAAAAGCCAATCGAGCCTTCTGTATCCGTCTTTCTTTCTTTCTTACGCCTGTTACCCGAAATGGAGCATAGGCCGCTCACCAGTTTTCTCCAACCAACTCTGTCCTGGGCTTCCCTCTCCAGTTCTGTACAATGTTTGTTCATTCTTCTCATATCTTTCTCTATTTCTCGGCGTAATGTATTCTTTGGCCGTCCTCTTTTCCTTTTGCCTTGAGGGTTCCATGTGAGGGCTTGTCTCGTGACGCAGTTAGGTGCTTTCCGCAATGTGTGTCCTATCCACTTCCACCGCTTCTTCCTGATTTCCTCCTCCACTGGAATCTGGTTTGTTCTCTCCGACAGTTCGTTGTTGCTGATGGTGTCTGGCCAACGAATACTAAGTATTTTGCGTAGACAGCTGTTAATAAACACTTGTATCCTCTGGATGATGGCTTTGGTAGTTCTCCATGTTTCCGCTCCATACATTAGAACTGTCTTGACATTTGTATTGAAAATCCTTATTTTGGTGTTGATTGATATCTGTTTGGAGTTCCAGATTTCTGTATCCGTGCTATCTGCTAAAGATAGCAGTAAAGGTTCTAAGCAAATCATTGACAAGGTCAAAACATGCGAGGATAAGACCAACCAAATTCCTTCGCCTATCCGAAAGCTAAAATAACTCGTCTATGTTTGTTAGGGAATGTTATATCTCCAGAACTCACTTGGAAAATGTCCTAATTTTTGTAATTTATTTCCTAGAAATTTGGAATTTCCATGTTTTTGCGCCAAGAAACGAGTAGTTGACCTTCAGCCTTATATTTCCCACTCGGGGAAATCCTTGACTGTTATTGTTGGTTAATGGATTGTTTTAGTACGCTCTTTGGTGGCTCTCACCAAGGGGATTTCTATCATTGTATAAATTAACTTGAGTTGTGTGTTTGTGAATCTCATATTTTCCGGGATGCCTGTAGAATATATTCTCTACGCCTTATCAAGACTTCTTGCTGCTCTAGTTAGCGGGACTTGGGACAATGTCACTGCATTGCTGATCTTCCTTTCAAACATATCAATAATGTGTGACATACTGACAAACGCTACAATGTAAAGAATGCCTTTAAATTACATCCTGATAATCTGTATCGTTAAACACATGACAGAAATGACAAAAATGTGCAACTTAACAATCTTCACAACCCCGTTATGCAAATTATCTGTGTTCACTGGTGACTAGCTTCGTGAGGAATCTTCTCCGAGTTCTCGTGGGAAGACGTGACCAGTGAAGTTCAACCTGTCCGGGTGTAGGCAATGTCTACCGAAGACTGTGTATGAGGTTGCGCAACTCCGTGAATTTGATCAAGTTAGACATTAACACCGTTAGATACCGGCTCAGTGGTCTAACGGTTAGGGCGTTCGCGCACAATGCCGAAGGTCCTGGGCTCGAATCCTGCGGGGTACAGGAGTCGTGGATGCGCACTGCTGGAGACTCCTACACCAGGACGAAACGGCCGTCCAGTGCTTCCAGGTTTCTAATGGTGGTCTAACATTGTTCGATTCATGGTTTCAGAAATGTGTAACTTAACAAGCTTCACAACCCCGTAATGCAGATACATATTTCAAAAGATTTCAAACAATCGATCACTCTTTTAGTCAATTCATTCCGTAAGAAATCAAAATGAAAACCGTTTTTTACTGCTCAATTGTTGTTTTCTCAGTTTCATAGTATTCAACAAAGTTCTTAAAAAGAACTTGTTACACTCGTCTCCAAGGTATGCTTAAAAACTATTACGGGTTCACCTTCGTCGAATAACGCGAACGAGACAATGAACCAGCATCCAGGTAGGCTACTCTGATTGGTTGACCCAATGTACTAACAAGAAGTTTTGATATAGCGCAGAAAGTGTATTCTGCAAACACCAAGCCAGCACCATAGAGACGTCCTAGGGAGAGTCACAAAATAGCACACTTAAATGACACAGTAACCAATCACAGCCAAGGCTTTTCCTGGTGGGAAATGTGACCTCAAGGTCAACTGATCAGCCCATGAATAAAATCCCAAATAAAGACATTTATCAAGCGAGTTCTGGGTGGGCATCTAACATACCCAACAGAACTTGTCTGTAAATTTACCTAGGATTTCTCATGTAACAATGAATACCCAATACTTTGAATAAACAGTAATCATTGATTGGTCAATTATCCAGTGTAACAGGTAGGCTAATAATCAGAAATCGATACGCATATATGCGTTCATTTATATAATTATCAGTCCTACAGCAGGTCGGTACCATTCCAAGTAGCTCTGGATGATGCGGGTCCGAAACTTGAACATCGCAGTTACGTTACACTGATCATTGCCGAACAGTTTAAAACATAAGCCTTGTCTTCCTTTTCAAAGACATACTATTTGTAACTTTAATTCATTGGTTACGCTCAAAAGCACTAGATAGTCGTTTTGTTATAATAACAGGTGAGTGAACAACGCACGAGTCCTGAAACCATTAGTCCTTATTTCCGATTTCCAGCGAGTATCAGTGATCGAAAATGACCCACGCCTACAACATGGTAAATTCCACAAATGACAGTTCTCAGAATCATGTCACGTATCGAGAATTGGTGTGGTGCACGAAAGTAATCATGTATGTGATAATTTTACAACTAAACCATTCACGAATATTGTACCGTTAGATACTGATCGACACAATCAGCTTATTTATTTAAACCTATAAACACTGGTACATAAGGAAAACATGCACCACACAAATCAGTGCATAGATCGGGATACTGTCCGAGTGCCTGTTGGGGATGTTAGATCCCCAGAACTCGCTTGATAAATGCCTTATTTTGGTTTTCACGTTTGCCAGCATGGACTGATCAGTTGACCTTGATTGAGATTCCAATTGACACCAGGAAAATCCATGGCTGTGATTGGCTGCTTTGTATTTTAGTGTGCTATTTTCTTAACTGTCCCAAGGACGTTTCTATGTTGTATAAATAAACGAGAGTTGTATGCTTGATTGTACTATGATTGCTGGGTGTTTGTAGAATATACTTTCTACGCTTACAAAGCCTTTTTACTTCAGCCTCGGATTCAAGGTAGCCTACCTGGACTCTGGTAATTGTCTCGTTCGCGTTTATCGACTAAGGTAAACTCGTAAGTGACGAACTATACAGTGCCCAAACTGAAGGTGGTTTTCTTAGAGGGGCCACTGTCTACGACTTTGCCCACACGGCGGCATTGAGGCAACGTTAGGAGAGATACATTTCCATGCTAGGCGTTAACCAACAATAAGTTTACATTCCATTGTATTGGAATGAGGATTTTCCAACTCCAATTCAACAAAGTGAATTCTCCATACTCACTAATCTGGTCTACGGACATTCGTTTTTTGTCATCATCACAATTTCGTACACAACAGATACATCACGAGAAGATACACTGCGTAGGATAGGACTTCAACGGCACCGATTAACACGTGGACACATGAGAGCATTTCCAGTGGACTCTCGGTGGCACTAGGACCATGAATTCCAAAAAAAATTAGAAGTAATCAAAGCATTTTTTTTCAATTTTTCGTTTTTTCAAAAATTCATCGACAAATTATCATCATATCAAACAATTGAGAGAAACATGAGAGAGAGCGAAAAGTAATGTACCACACACACGCACACGCATACATTGAGACAAAGTAAGTACACTCAATACACACACAGGGCAAGAAAAGAAAAAAAAAAATCACTGAACAATGTCAAGTACAAATCAAAAGAAAATAATGATCAGTACAAATGAAAAAAAAATATTCATTTCGATTGGTTAAGTAAGAAAAGAAAAAACACCACCACTACTACTAATACTACTAATAAATACTACTTACTACTACAGTAACATGTACATTAGCAAGTCAATACCATACATACATACATACAACAAGGAAAAACCGATACAACGGAGTTTATGAGACAACAACATAGCACTCACATACCAATCAGACTACTGATAATTGGTTCAACATTACAAAACGATCAGTGTATATATGTATTGATCAAGGGAAATACACACAAACACACGCACACAGAGAGGAAGAGTGTGTGTGTGTGAGAGAGAGAGAGAAGTGGAGTTGCCTTCATGGAATGTGTGTACATAATACTTATAATGAATGTATAAATGCTTTTTAGACCGTTCAATAATCAATATTAAACAAAGATTTGTATCCAGTACAACAAAAGAACCACTGTTCAATAAGTAATAAGAAAGATATTTTGGCCAACAAAGCAACTACCCAAACAATAGACTTGTAATGTGTGATATGTGAAATGATTTTTCATTCATTTACATGTACAAAAAATACATTTTTTTAAAAGAAAAAAATAGATATATAAAGACGTACTGATTAGTGTCTATTCTTTAAAATGATATGTGTTGTATACAGACAGAGTAAGGGAGGGAGAGAGAGGGAAGTGAGTAGTAGGAGTACAAAATAGTACAAACTGTTTGCAAAAAAAACAAAGTTGCCATGATTATCATAAGTTGAGATCTAACAGAAATTTCTTCATACACAATTTTGATAGAAATAATAATAAGAAGATACACCGAGAGAGGGAGAGAGACAGTAGAGTAGATTAAAGTAAGGGATTCTGAATTTCGATTCAAACCTGATGGCATTAGATGTGCGTGTACACACCACACACGCACGCACGCACCCACATGTAAAAATAACATCAAACAGAACGATATGGATTGGTTGGTTGATTGATTGATTGATTGAGTAGTGGGATAACGAATAACATTGAAATTGTGTCATCATATCAGTAATCACAACAACAACACACACACACATACCACCGACAGCGACAACCTTTCTCTATCGGGATTGTTTTGGCCGGAAAAGAGGTTATGCCTCTTTCTCTATTTGTTCACTTGGTTTGCATAACGCCCCGCGCCCCGCCCCAATTGTTCGCAAAAACAAAAAACGTTGATTGACAGCAAGTACGGATCTGTGCATTCTTACAGAGTAGTTGATATGCTTCAAACATCTCTTATAGTCATCAATTTTAAAAATTGTGTTTTAAAGGCACACAAATGAAGAGAATGTGGGAAAGGATAGAGAGAGAGAGAGAGAGATTGTGATATGTATATGCATAATATGTATTGGTTCATAGGTTAACAACAACATTGAAATATTTGAGGAAAAAAAACGGGAAAACAATAAAATCAATATCTGTACATAAATAGTTCAAGTATCTCAAAATATATATAATAGTCGTCGGTTAATAAATGTATTTTTATTTCTCTTCAAAATGTACTTTCAAATCGAATACAAATTGAAAATTACACGCACACACACACAAGTACTGGCACAAAACCGGAAATACACGGGCCGACACACAGCGAGATAGAGAGAGGGAGCCAGCGATAAAATCAAATAAAAATTAAAGTTGAGAGGAAATAAATGAACGGAGAGAAAGATACAATCATTAATGATGATGGCGAATGGAATGTTTTTTCGGTGTAGTCATAATCAATTTGTCAATTGGTAACGATGCAATCAATGATGCTTCTTGCATAGTGATTTGAAGTTTTCTGTTTAGAAAAAAAATAAATATTATGTATGAGACAATGAATAGGTAATTAATTCGAAATACAAATGAAAATGTATGACTGAATTAGTCAACATACACTAAACAAAGTTGAAACACCTTATTTCAATTTGATGAGGGGATTGTCAGAGTTCTAGTTGTTACGCCTGCACGTAAACACGTCAACTTGATATACTTGAACTATTACGGGTTTACCTAGTCGGGAAACGAGAGCGAGGATCCGGTGACACGACATGTTACTCAAATCCGATTATTACAACCCCCATATTTAGTTAAAATAAGAAGACTTGATATGAAGTAGAACCGGTATTCTACAAGCATTCAGAAAGTACGAGGTCCGAATCCAGAAGAGATTATGGATCCAGGACTAGCGATCCGGGACCGGGTCCTGGTCGTGGTCATAAAATGTTACAGATAATGCGTATTTATACATTTTGGTCGAATAGGAAACAGCATCGAATTCTGTGGCATTGACAATCAAGACGACCAATAGGAAGTAACATCTGAAGTGACATTGATAGTCAGGACAACCAATAAGTAACAACATTGAGGTATTTGATTTTGACAGTTATAACGACCATAATTTTGACCAATAGAAATCGACCAATAGGATTTGACCAATAATTCTCTTAGGATATTGGATGAATATCCTAACACTAGTGAAATGCCGTGATCAGTGGAGAAGTACAACTGAGTCGAGAATGAGGCAGTTATCGATGGTTGCGCAAATATCATGAATTGATTGAAGTTAGACATTTACCACTTCACTGGATACTGACTACTACTCAGTAGTCGTTGAGAGGTTAAACGTTCCCAGACGAGCCTGAAGGTCCTCGGTTCGACTCCCGCAAGCCGGAGTAGTGGGTACACACAGCTGATGTAGCTGCATATTTGTTACGCACGCAACTTTTCACCACGTCAACGTGATATGCTTGAAATATTGCGAGTTCACCTTAGTCAGTAAACGAGAGCGAGGATCCATTATCTGGCGACACCATAGGCTACTCTAATCCGAGCGTCCTAAACCCCCATTGAATAGAAGAAGAAGAAGACTTGATATGAAGCAGATTGTGTATTTTACAAGCATCGAGAAAGTACCAGGTCCGAGTCCAGAAAAGGCTACGGATCCGGATCATAAAACCACTGGGTGAAGATGATTTCAAATGTGTAAAAACACAAACCTCCAAAACTCTAATTGAAAATATCGTGAAATGTGCTCACTATTGACTAGCTTCATGAGGATAGCCTAGGAGTTCTAGTGAGAAGACGTGACCAATGGAGTTCAACCCTGTCGGGTGTAGGCAGTAACTACCAAAGACAAATGGGTGAGGTCGCGCAAAACCCCTAGATCAATCAGAGTTAGACATTAACACCGTTGGATGCCGACCCAGTGGTCCTATGGTTAGGCGTTCGCGCACAATACCGAAGGTCTCGGGTTCGAATCCTGCGAGAGGCAGGAGTCGTGGATGCGCACTTCCCATTTAGTTGGACAGCGCATAAGCGGCTGTCTACCAGGATCCAGCCTAAGAGAGCTAGTTATGCTTAACGACGTAATACTGTACCTACGTCGGCGAGGCCACAGGAAACAGCATCAGAGCTACTTGAAACAGGAAGCGTAAACCGTGTTGTATCTCTAACTGCACTAAGTGAAATCAAATTGATGATTTCACTCGGAACTTGTATGCGCGTTTCGGAGACGCAACATACATCGACCATCCGAGATTCCAGAATTCTAGCTAATGAAGCCTATTGCCCTATTTGGCACAAGGTCCAAATATTAAAAGCTCCGATATGTTATATAGTACGGGATTTCAAGAAACCAGGAATTGTGTTTCGTGAGCTCATACCGTTTGCTTCAGTGGCGTGAGGTGATAAACGATCAGAAGAAGAGTTGATCGAAGAGATAAGAGAGTTATTAGGAGATGTGGAAAGGATTTGATTATGATCAATTCAGTCTCGTGTGCTTTTATGGGTACGAGGGCGGATGTTACTTCCCATCTGTCCTAACCGTAGAAGCGTTCTGTTTGTCAGAAGGGGTATCGGCCACGTGACTTCCGAGGAAACTCGACTTTCATCATGATATGTCATAACTCTTCTAAATGAAGACATTCTAAGGATTAGGCGTATGTTATTATCGACCGCATCCTGTAGAAATCCAACTCACTAAAATTAAAGCTAAAATCAATCCATTCGACATAAAAAAAAGACGATTTAATGACTTTCTTACATGCACAGCCAACATACATTACCTGTTAGTTAAATGATATTCCGATTTTCGATTATCTGATGGTGGTAAACGATGTCGACGTGGTGTGGACATAGCGGAATGACTAGAAACTAATGATTCTGCTTGATAATAATGATAGAGATGAGGAGATTCCGTAGAATTGTTGATTGTTGACATTACTGTAGCGATTGAATTTGTTGTCGTTATATTATTATGAGAATTGTGTCGAGTTTTATTCGATGATAGACGTGAATGTGTTGAACGTGAACGATGTGGAGAGGGAGTAGATTTCGGATGTTCTTTATGTATAATAGATTGAGAATTCATGTATATAGCAGGTGTCTAAAAAAAATAGTATACATTTAGAAACAAAATACACGTATATATATATATATATATATATATATATATATATATATATATTTGAAACCAAGAATCGACCAATGTTAGACCACCATTAGAAACCTGGAAGCACTGGACGGCCGTTTCGTTCTGGTATGGGACTCATCGGCAGTGCGCATCCACGACTCCTGCACCCCGCAGGATTCGAACCCAGGACCTTCGGTGTTGTGTAACTTAACAATCTTCACAACCCCGTAATGCAAATTACCTGTGCTCACTAGTGACTAGATTCGTGAGTGAGCTCCGAGTTCTAGTGGGAAGACGTGACTAGTGAAGTTCAACCTGTTCAGGTGTAGACATTAACTACCGAAGACTGTGTATGAGGTTGCGCAACTCCGTGAATTTGATCAAGTTAGACATTAACACCGTTAGATACCGGCTCAGTGGTCTAACGGTTAGGGCGTTCGCGCACAATACCGAAGGTCCTGGGTTCGAATCCTGCGGGGTGCAGGAGTCGTGGATGCGCACTGCTGAGGAGTCCCATACCAGGACGAAACGGCCGTCTTTCAGTGCATCCAGGTTTCTAATGGTGGTCTAACATTGATCGATTCATGGTTTCAGAAATGTGTAACTTAACAATCTTCACAACTCCGTAATGCATATATAAATGTATATAAAATTCAGTCAGTCGGGTACAACGTGGAACTATGTACGTCAGTCAGTCAGTCAGTCAGTCAGTTAGTTAGTTACAATGTACAACTTCGTCAGTAAGTAGATCAGTTCAAGTTAGCATAGCACATTATTAGCACAGAGATACAATTGTCACTTCAAATCCCATAATGGTTGAAATAGTAGTAGAAGTATTATCGGTAATGAAGAAGATTAAGGTTCGATGATATTATTTAAAGGAGTGTAATCCAGTGAAATAAATTTGAGAAGAGACACAAATCGATCTTAAAATTATGAGGTCATGTAAGACAACACAGAATAGATGCTACGTTTAATCGTGTAGAAGTAGGTTGGAAGAATGTTAGGGGTCCGCGAGCTGATAATAACCGATGCTTATAGACCTTAAATGACATGGCACAAAACCATTTGCAATGATGCAGGTGCATCCGTTCTTTATGTTCTCTCAAATCCTAATCTTCAGAGTTCCCCATCACCTTTATCTCTTTCTTTTTAAGTTTATTTCACTAGATAGTCCTACTTGGTGAAGACGCTGACGAAATGCAGAGTCTTCTGACCACCCTAAGCAACAATGCAAGCATGTTAAAGATGCGGTTCTCACCCTCGAAATGCAAAATGTTGCTTCAAGATTGGGTTTCATCGGCGCCTGAACTAGTGATAGGGAGTGAAGTAGTTGAGCGTGTAGACCGCTTCACTTATCTGGAGAGTCTCATCAGTGCCGATGGCCTGGTGACTGACGAAATCTCAGCTCGGATACAGAAGGCTCGATTGGCTTCTGCCAACTTGCGTCACTTATGGCGTAGGCGAGATATCCGTTTGCTGACTAAAGGACGAGTGTACTGTGCAGTAGTTCGCTCCGTCTTACTTTGTGGCTGTGAAACATGGCCAGTGAGAGTAGAAGATATTCGTAGGTTACTGGTTTTCGATCATAGGTGTCTTCGAAGCATTGCTCGTATATCCTGGGACACCCGAGTGAGCAACGCTGTTATTAGGAATCGAGTGCTAGGTAAGAATGGCAAATCAATAGATGAAGTAATGAAACTTAATCAGTTGAGGTGGTTGGGAGATGTGTTACGTATGCCTAACCACCGCCTGCCTCGACGAGCTTTGTTTTGTAGTGTAGGAATAGGTTGGAAGAAAGTTAGGGGCGGCCAGACCAAGACATGGCATAAATCCATGAAGTCATTGACGAGTGGACTGAATCATGTCGGTAGTTGTCGACTATCTGGTACCTGGTTGGGGTCCGCGAGATGATAATAATCGATGGCTAGAAACCTTGAATGACATGGCTCGAAATCGTTCGCAATGGCGCCAGTGCATTTATTCTTTGTGTTCTCTCAAATCCTAATCTTCTGGATTCTTCAACTTTGTAGACTTTTCCTACTGAATCATATTTCTTGAATAGTATCTTCTAATCCTAACCTCTCCGATTACTTCTGATACCTTTACTACCTCTTCTACTATTGGATTTGAATTGACAATTATATCTCTGTGCTAATAGGGTATGGCAACACGAACTGATGTACTTATGTACGAAGTTCTACGTTGCATCTGACTGACTGACTGACTTATTTCACTAGATTCTACTTGTTGAATAATATCCTCGATCCTTAAAATTTTCGATTATTGCTAATACCTTTACTATTCCTACTACTATACGATTTGAATTGACAATTACAGCTCTCTGTGCTAATATGGTATAGCAACTTGATCTGATGTACTTACGTACATACGTACAAAGTTCTACGTTACTGTTAATTGATTGATTGATTGACTGATTGACAAATACTAATAATAGTTTAAAAAATATTATTTTTAATGAATTCATAATCAACATTTGACAGTCATAACATTTTATTTTTTTAACACATACCTGACCATGAATTGATGAACCATCCGAACGAATATCATCATCTCGTCGATTAGAATGTTTACGATGTCCATCACGATGATTATGATGACGTCGATGATGATGATGATGACGACTGCGTGAAGTATCGTCGTTATCTGATGTCAATGTTTTATTGTTTGTATCATTTTGGAGTTGATTTCGACTAGTGTTATGATGATTAAAACAACAATTGGATTGTTGTTCAACATTCAATAATTCACCAATAGTAACAGTAGCAGCAACAGAATTAGTATCATTCATTATTGAACAATACATTGGAGAGGATATTGTCGAAGAAGAAGAAGTAGAAGATGTGTTGTTCATTGATTTTGACATTTTATTCTTCTTCTTCTTTTGATGATGATGATGACGTTGGTTGGTTTGATCAACCCCAGTAGATTGTTTCTCTGGACAATATTGAATTATATTAGAATGATTTGATTTAGTTGTCAATAATCTCGCTGGTGTACAATAACTAAGACGTGGTGGTAATGGAGGCGGTGCCGTAGTATCAGCTGGTGGACAATAAGGATGATTGACAGTGATAGTTCTGTAATGATTACTACTACTACTCTCGTTACCACTATGATTATTATGTAATATAATATTGGATGAAATGATTTTATGCGCCGAATCATGATAAGGTATATGAGGATTTCGACGATCTATAGAAGAATGATTAACAAGCATTGATTGTACAGTTGGATGAATACCAGTAGTAGTAGTAGTAGTAGTAGTAGTAGTAGTAGTAGTAGTAGTATGAGTAGTGGTATAAGTAGTATTAGTAATGTTAGTAGTATAATTGGTTTTCTCACAAATTTTATCTATCAGTTTTGTTGGAGTTACATGATTATTGCTATTATTATGATTGCTGATCGACATTAATTGATGTTCTGGAACAGAGAGTCGTCGTGATTGTTTATCAAATAAAACTGTTGTTGCTGTTGTTGTCGGTGTCGGGGTTGATGATGACGTCGATGAGGCGGATGGTTTTTTTGACGGATTGTGATGATGACGATGATGATGATGATGACGACGATGTGGTATGCGTTCATCGGTTGATTCAGTGACAGTTTTTGAATTACCAATTCTATGAGATAACATCGCAATGATAAGAAAAGTGAAAAATTCTTTGTTTAAAATGAATCAATCAAGCGAAACTCTACACAATGTAATAAATTTGAAAAAAAACAACGGCTATTCTTTAAGGTTTTCTTCTACGTTGTGGATGTTATGTAGTGAACGAGAAGACAGGTGAGGGCAACCGAATTATATTTAACGAAATTGACAGAGTTACTCAGTAAAATAGGAAAACCATATTCAACATGTAGCGTTTACTAGTTTCCGCTGCTGGGACACGGCGGCAGACACACCCTCGATAAATTGCGACTCCAACAACTGTGCCTCATCGATATTCGGCAGAGCACGGCGCAACAATCTGGTGAGCCCCACGCCGTCTTCCCGGCGGCACCGTTCAGGCTTTCGTGTACCGCCTTCGCCTCACCTCCCCACAGCGTCCCCAGCACCGTCAACTCCGCCCCGGGCCCCTTCACACCCACCAGCCCCAAACTCCCCCAAAAAGCTCCGCAAATCTCCGACCCCAAACTCCTTCGGCCACGGGAGCTCCTTCCTTCATCCTGGCAGCGACACCAAATGTAGTGAAGGAGAACACAGGTGGGGCAACCGAATTGTATTCAACGAAAATTACAGAGTTACTCAGTAAAATAGGAAAACCATATCGTGACCGTTAATTTGCAAATCTTCAATCCATTGTCTGACATTTCACTTATTCATGCGTTTCATACAAATTCCATTGTTTTCTAACTCTTCCTTTCTTGATCTTCCCCCATTTTCTGCTGCCAGACATTACGTTTACACTCACATCATAAACTACTTATAAGTAGCGCGCATCACTCGGTAAAAGGTCCTCCTAATATTGTAATTTTATTCCGAAAATTTGAATGTTTCATGTTTTCGCGCCAAGAGACGATTGATTAGTTGACTTTCAGTTTACATTTCCCACTCGGGGAAATCCTTGACTGTCATTGTTGGTTAATGGATTATTTTAGTACGCTCTATGGTGGCTCTCACCAAGGGCATTTTTATCATTGTATAAATAAACTTGAGTTGTGTGCTTGGAGACCTCGTTCTTTCTAGGTGCTTGTAGAATATATTCTCTACGCCTTATCAAGTACTTCTTGATCTTGTTAGTGGGACCTGAGGCAAACGGAATATAGAATAGCCTATCGGGTCACTGTATCGTGTTGATTTTTGGTTCAGTTTACCGAGTAAAATGAACTTGTAACAATTTCATCAAGCATATCATTTTGGAGATCAAAAATCTTAAATTATGAAGAATAAATTTAGTCTGTAGTTAGGTTTCATTGGTTTAAAAGGCATTGGCTAGCTTAGTTCTCCTTATCAGTGCACTAAAATATACATGTACCATACACAAAGAATTGAGTTTATAAATAAGCTAGAATATTGTCCAAACTGAAGCAGGAAGTTATCTTGGAGCATCAAACCCTACGAGGCTTTGAGCTAAAGGATTTCATGAGTATCAGGGTTTTTCTCAACACCATTAGAATGCATTCTGTACACACTAACTCTTCATCTTATAAAGAAGAACAATCCGCCAAGTCAGTCAGCTACAACATAGTACTTCATATGTGCGTACATCATTTCGAGTTGTCACACCACCAAATTAGCACATACATAGATGCAATTGTCAATCGGAAAACCCATAGTAGTAGAGATAGTAGTACAAGTATTAGCAGTAATCGAAGAGATTAGGATTCGAAGAAATTATTATTCAAGAAGTATAATCCAGTGAAATAAATTTGAAAATAGATAAGAAAATGTCCTGACCTCAGGCAGCATGTGAGAAAACAAAGAATGAATGCATTTTTGCGATTGCAAACGATTTTTTGAGCCATGTCATCATTCAATTGTCTCTAACCATCGGTTACTACCAAGAACATGTTAATGACTAAGTCGAATACGAATGGAGATAGTGAACAGCTCTGATGAACACCACTACAAGTAAATCAATTTAGATGACAGTTTACAATCAATCAGCTTTGACTCAGCCAGTAAGTGTTCGAGTAGACAACCTGCCATACCCTGCCAAGAGAAGATAGTGAATAGGAATTCCCTGGTATTGGCTATACATACATGCGTGGTTATATGAGAGCATCTCGAAAGAGAGAACTCTCTCCATTTTCTCGACCGCAACAGTGTATTTGGAAGAACTACTGCTAAGTGACAGGTTCTAGTCCAGCTTCACCGACTTCGATTTACATAACCGGGTACCCTCCTAGTTATTATATGTACAATGTGACTCAAACTGCAGTGCATAGATCTGCCCTTATTATATGGGTTCTATCTTCATCGACCTGAATTAAAATACAAGTGCAAGCAGTCTATATTCATTGTGTCCAAGGTACAAAAATCGATGATAGAAAGGAAACTACATAATAAATGGTTAGTAAATTGAGTGTTCTTCTGACCACATGATCAGAGGCCATATAATCAGGCGATGATAATAATAACCGAAAAAATCGACAAGTGGAAGTGTGGTGTGTGCTACTTATACGAACGATATAAGTAGTAGTATAAGAAGGGACGTGAAAGAAGACGTCTCACGGTCAGAAGAGGAAAAAACGGAAAACAAATGGAGCAAAAACCAGGAAGTAAATAGAGCATCGACAGGAAGTAAAGGAAGCAACAGCAGGAATGGAAGAAGGATGGAGCGTTGGAAGTCACGACGACTCAGAGATGGTGTGCAAATAGAATGTTCAATGTGATTTGCTTGCTTATTTCGGTTTGTCTGTCTTCTTAATACCAAAATATTTCAACACAATTACCCCTGTTTTTTTGTTTGTTTGAGCACGTCAGTTAAGTTTGTTGATTGCATACAACCCAATCAGGCGCGCTTATGGTCATCGTAGGATTTATCAACTTATTAATATAGTACACTGCATTTATATATCTCAGCATTATCCGTTCCCTGTTCCCTGCGTACATAAAATGATGCCTAAAAAAGTATCTTTCTATAACCTGATGCTTTATATTGTACACAGAACAATAAATAGACAAGCAAGAGGTTAAGCGACGGCATACGAGGCCGAAGGTCTTGGATTCGATTCCCGCGAGCGTTGGTCTTAGAGACCTGGGAGCGTGACTGCAGAGTCCAAAGGACAACTGCTTAAGGCCGGCCACGCACGGCCTTTTGATGAAGGGTTTTTTGAGTATTAGCTCCGCTCTTGAAAGCCCTCAGTGGGCACCCTTACCGTTGGAGACGGAAATCCGTGAGGTAGGGTGAGGTGTGACATTTTTTAGGGTCGACTTTTTCTAACCCTTCCTTCCTTGTGAGAAGGCAGCATCGCTGCAGATGCTGGTTGTCTGAGGGAAACACCCCAATGCTGTCACATCCCTCCATCACAGTCAGCAGTACGACTTCGCCCTCAGACCTTGAGTAGATGCTTTTAGTCTCATCGTTTTCCAATCGACCTGCCTGGTATGGTAGAACCTTCAGGAACATATGTTCCAGCCAATAGTACTCGGTTGGGTCATCACGATAGTCAAGCTCGACCACCACGTCAAGGTAGCAGCCACAGTCCCGCGAGCAAGGATCATGGATGCTCACTATCATAGGTGAGTCCTATGGTAAGGACGAAATGGTTATTCAGTGCTCCCACATTTCTAATGGTCGTTTAACATGAATCGATTCACGATTTAAATGACACTTCATAAACCGCATAACAAGAAAACAAGAAAGAAATATATTTCGATTGAATAAGAGGCAAATATTTTGATTGATTATTAACTAACCTGAAAAGATTTTTTAAATTTGTCAATCCACTTTTATTATGTTTTGGCTCAAGAGGTAGATTATCATTGTTAATATTATTATTTGAAATGGAATGTGAAGACGGTTTAGGATTTTTATCATTCGAATGAATTTCTGAACGAGATTTCGATTGAGAACGTTCATGTTTATCAGGTGTTGTTGTTTTACAGAGCGGTGAAGAAGAAGAACATGTAGATTGTTGTGATGAATAATTGGAATGTTTATGATGTGTAGTTTTTGCAAGTTTATCACGATTACCGCTTACACTACGTGGACGATGAGGTGGTATAGGAGGTGGAGGAGCAGCAGAAAGTGCGGTAGAAGTATTCAGATCAAACAGATCAGAGTGAACAGTAGTAGTAGTGGGAGTATTTGTACAAGTTTGGTAAAATGAACGATCTACAGCATGACGAAAACTAGTATTTTGCTTTCGACTTCTTAAAATTGGCGGTTGATCCAATTGACGATCGATGTTTACTTCGTGTAGATCTTCTGAAAAGGCAAAACAAAAATGAGAATAATAACAGAAGATGGACGTTTCACATATGATTGAATAAGATATGTGCAAAAAACAACGACTATGAAACACATACTTCTTAAGTTCATTTCACTATGAGATACTGAAAACAAACGATATTCACCAATCGTTAACTTTACTTGTACTTAATTATCTAATCTATTTGTTACTTCATAGGACCCTTGACTATATTTAATTAGTGACATAAAAATCAATCAATCACTAGGCTATTCATTCCTAGCTTACAATCAAACAAAAATTTGGTATTTTAAAGTCATGAAGCTGAATGGTTTCCATTTTTTTGCTCATTTATTTTATACTACTTATTTCTTGATTACAGTAATCTCATGAGAAACAATGAAAAAAAACGTGAAAGTATTTTCACCTTGAAACAAACGTAAAATATTATATGTGGTAATTAATTAGAGATAGCCACAGCAACTTTGTTACACAAATAATAATCATAACAATAATAGTAATAATTTAAAGGCGACCACAACAATGTAGAATAAACTAAAAATCACGCATCCTTAATGACGACACGAAGAGAAAACATTGGAAAAACACAAAAACTTCAAAAATTGTTAGTTAGCATGAATCGCGAGACACAGAGAGAGAGACAGAGACAGAGAACAATGTTTTATTGGACCCAAAAAAAATTTAAAAAAAACAGCGCGACGCACCATAACTAATTGATTTATGCTAATTAATTGTGTGCAACGGTAAGACGTGATTTAATATCGATCGACAATGAGAGAGAAAAAGCAAACAACATCATTAGAGAGACACACATACACACGCAGAGTATTCTATTGTAGGACGTATCTGTGTGTTTCGCTTTTTTTTCAGGGAGTTTATGAAATTGTTGTATCGTACTATTCAGGTCAATGATAGAAAGTATGTGAGAAAAGAAGTAGTATGAAATCCAGTAATGTTGTTTTTTTAGAAAAAAAATTGATCGAAAAATAGTTAGAACATAAAATAACAGAATGTAGAGTTCAAAAATAACAGAGATGCTCTCTACAAGAAACAATCGAAGTTCCGTCAGTCAGTAAGCTTAAGATATGATGAACTCAGTTCCAAGTAAAAGACTGAGTAGCCTTACTTATAACTTAACACCGTTGGATTCCGGGCCCAGTGGTCCGATGGTTAGGCGTTCGTGCACAATACCGAAGGTCCCAGGTTCGAATCCTGCGGGGTGCACGAGTCGTAGATGCGCACTGCCACTGATGAATCCCATACCAGGACGAAACGAACGTCCAGTGCTTGCAGGTTTCTAATGTTGGTCTAACAATGATTGATTGATGATTTCAAATGTGTAAAAACACAAAACCTTCAAAAATCTGCCCGGAAATTTACTTATATCTCTTTTAACTCCGCCTGGAGCCCCTCCGGAGCTGTTGCCGGTCCCAAGCACGGATAAAGGTGGAGGGTTGCCAACCCCATCCCGTAGAAAAAAACGCTAACCAGAAAAAATTGCTCTTTTACCAGAAAATCTAGCTGAAACAAGGAAGAGCAGCACGGCCTGATAGGATTGCCCCTGAAATTTTTTAGGGAAGATAGATCAGTTTTAGCAGTAAGATTAACGGAGATATTAGGTAGAATCTGCAGACTGGGCGTAATACAATTTGACTGGTCTCAATTCCTTATTGTTCGAATTTACAAGAAGTGACAAAAGTACTTTTGTGACAATCACTAAGTGTCTAAATTGCAAGCCCCGATAATACTTTGGCGCCTAACTAGAGCTCGCGAAGTGCAGACTCGAGGACATCAGGCTGGTTTTCGACCCGGACATGGCGCTATATAGAAAAGATATTCACACTATGTCAGTTCCTGGAACAAAGACACGTTTAGACGCCCCACAATAGTTGTATTTCTCGACCTTAAGGTGGTATTTGACTTTGTTGATCGTGAAGTACTATGGCAGTTAGTAGTACTAATAATATTGAGTGCACGTGACTTGTGCCCAACATTTGGATAAAATAATCAATCCATTCTACCGAAGTTAATCCTGTCAAGTATTCTCTTATTAACATTGGTTGTTTTCACTTGAGTGAGTAGGTGAATTGCTTACTTCGATTGTCACTTGTCTAGTTTATTTTCGACTAATTATAAATACTTCTTCACATCTCATCACACTGAGATGACCTACTCATCTTCTCCGCTTTTTATTCCCATGTCTGTCTATGTTACAGACAAACAGACAGATACAACGCACAAATTCGTACATAAGTACATCAGTTCAGGTTGCCATACCACCACATAAGCACAGAGACGTAACTGTCAGTTCAAATCCAACAGTGATAGCGATAGTAGAAGTATTAGCAGTAATGCAGAGGATTAGGGAGCGAAGATATGATTCGAGAAGTATAATTCATTGAGATAAATTTACAAAGAGAAAGATAGAGATTATGAGTAATTCCAAGGGTTAGAATTAGGGAGAACACAAAGAATAAATGCACCGGTGCCATTGCAAACAATTTTGAGCCATGTCGTTCAAAGTTTCTAACCATCGGTGACTTACGTCTCGCGGAACCCAACCAGGTAGCCTACATCTACCAACATGACTCAGTTCACTTGTTAGTGACTTCATGGATTTTCACCATGTTTTGGTTTGACCGCCCCTTACTTTCTTCCAACTTACTCCTACACTACAAAACAGAGCTCGTCAAGGCAGTCCGTGGTCAGGCATACGTAACACATGTCAGCAACCACCTCAATTGATGAAGTTTCACTACTTCATCTATTGATCTGCCATCCCTACCTAGAACTCGTTTCCTAACGACAGCATTGCTTATACGGTTGTCCCATGATACACGAGCAATGCTTCGGAGATACCGATGATCGAAGATTAGTAACCTACGGAAGTCCTCTACTCTTAACGGCCATGTTTCGCATCCGTATAGTAGGACAGAGCGAACTACTGCGCAGTACACTCGTCCTTTAGTCAGCAAACGGATATTTCGCCTACGCCATATAAGTGACGCAGGTTGACAAAAGCCTGTCTATGTGAACTATCACATGAAATAAACTCTCAACCAACTGAATCCATAATTGACTTTAGACTACCATTGTCATACAAACGAGACTCGGTTGTCAATTGAAATCCTATAGTGATAGAGGTTGTAGCAGTATTATTAGTAGAAATCGAAAAAAAGTTAGCGATCAAAAATACGATTCGAGAAGTATACCACAGTGAAATCAGCTTTTAAAAAGACAAAGATAAAGGTGATGAGGAATTTAAAAGATCACTTGAAATGGTCAGAAAACTGTACATTTTGTCAGTGCAATTGTCATCTGTATATATTCTAAAAATGAATCTCATGGAAGAAAGTCAACTCCTGAAGTGTCAAATTGTAAAAAGTGTCGTCTGTAAAAGCAAGAAAGATTATCACAGAAAACATGGGAGAAATTATGTTCTGAAATCAGTGGACTTTTTAAAAGAAGCAGTCCAATGAAATTCATTATACAGTACGTTAATCTGATATCTAAATCTATGAATTCCAAGGGAACACTATTTAGGACAATAGATTGAGTTGAAAATGAAAAGTTATTTGCGGTTAATTAAGTGTTATAAATCGATATATATGTATATAAATCTTCCCAAGACGAGAATCCATACCACTAACTCGAGATTCGCCAATGAAAATATCGACTGAAGTGTACATATTTATAACATAATGTTTTTTTTTCTAAGCCTTGATCAATGATATGTTTCGATTAACAAAAAACTAACTTTAAGCTAAAGTTGCGTATACTTCACCCTCTATTGGTCAATTGATTTAGAATTTTGAGTTCGAATAAGGGGAAAACAACAGTCATTCTTCTATTATTACGATTATTTCATTTACAGTTATGAAGGATCATTGTTTTGACCCAGTGAAATCGCGAAGCGATCATTGTTAGACCACCGTCCTGGTATGTGGGACTCATGGGCAGTGTGCATCGAAGACTCCGGCTACTCGCAGGGTCCGAACTCAGGACTTTCGGTCTCACGCCGGCGCATCTAACAGTGTTAACTAACGTCTAACTATGATTAATTTCCGATATTGTGTGATTTCATCCATTGTCTTCGATGAGCATCGATTTACGCCCGATAGGGTTGAATTCCACTGGTCACAGCTTCTCACTAGAACTTCAAGAATTTCCTCATAAAACTAGTCACTAATAAGTACATAACTATGATGAAAACAACCATCTAGTGCTTTCAGGCTTACAAAATTCCTGGCATGTTCATTCCTAGTTAATGGAGATTTTCACAACGTGAAATTTAAAATACTCATTACAAGAATAGTCAGTCTACGAACTAAATGTGACAGATGACTATGATATTATAGTCACATAACACTGTGAGGTTTGTCAAGTTCAACATGTCAAACTTCAGAAACCTCATGTAGATATATATATATATATATATATATACGTTTGAAATCATCAATCAATCATTGTTAGACCACCATTAGAAACCTGGAAGAATTGGAGGGCCGTTTCGTCCTGGTAAGGGACTCATCAGCAGTGGTCCGATGGTAAGGTGTTCGCCTACAATGCCGAAGGTCCCAGGTTCAAATCCTGCGAGGAGCAGGAGTCGTGGATGCGCACTGCTGATGTATCCCATACCAGGACGAAACAGCCACTGTCCAGTGCTTCCAGGTTTCTAATGTTGGTCTAACAATGATTGATTGATGATTTCAAATGTATAAAAACGCAAACCTCCAAAACTCTGCCCCATAATATATACGTTTGTCGCAAAATGAAAACGTTAAACGCTAATTGTTGATTTTGGAAAATAAAAAAAATATCCATTTTAATAAGGTCAACAAACAAATCAAACTTCATAATACATACCTATGTCGTGATACGTAAAATAAAGGCGTATTCTAATAACCTATTATTATTATCAATGTAATGTGAACCAATCAGAAGTGGTCAAGTGATAAGGTCATCTGGTGACCTTCAAAAAATATCCTACAAGACG